TCACCTGCGCGCTGCGCCGCGTCGCCCTCACCATCCCGGGCTTGGGGAGCGGGGCCGGGGCGCTACTCACCTACCTGCCCGGGTCCAGGCTCGCGAGGCACCGAGGAAACGATTAATAAAAACTCCTGGCTGCTGTGCTGGGGCCACCGTGAGCGAAGTGCGGGCCTGCGGCGAAGCGGGGCGTGAAGGAATGCAACCGGCAGCTGCAGCAGCGCCGCGGGGCCAGTGGTCGGTTTTAACCGGTCTCCGAGTTATCTGCTGCGGTTCACTTTTTGCCTTTATGATTTCTCTGTCAGCCTTCGTAAGCTTTTTTTTTTTTTTTTTAATCCCCTACAGGTTATGTACGTGCTCACCACTTTCCTCCACTCACTTTCCACTCCTCTAGGACTACAAATGAAAAAAGTGGAGTGCTGTGCATCTGCCCTGATTTAAACATCTTCGGACATATCATCCTTTCCGTTAGCAGTATGGAAGGGTTATGTGCGTTATTATTTTTTTCCTCATTTTTTTTTATGTTGTAAACCTTGGGTTTTTTCAGGTTTTACGGGGCAGTTTAAATTCATATTTTCTGCCAGAAAAGTCAAACTTTACCAAAATACAGCATTTTGCCAATCTAGAAAAAAGTGGAACTGATGGTCCTGATATTTTGGAAGTATTTTGATATTACTCTTAATATCCCAAGAAGTACTTGCTTCCCAGCACGTTCTGTGATCTTAGCTAGGAAACACTGAAGACTCAGTCAGTTCCTCTGTCATAGAGCAAGTTTATTAGTTAGCCAGTTAGCACAAGAACTGGGCACCTACGCAAACAGGGTAATTGTCAGTAATTGTAATTATCTCTGCCCTAAACAGTTCTTACTCTAAATAGGCCCAGGTCAGGGGAAATGGCATAACATACATTCAAACTGAACAATGCGGTGAGGGAAGCAGCTAGGTCTGCGGTATTAATTCTCAGTGGTTTCATACATGTTTCTTTCCAACACTACAATTCATTAGTAACCTTTCCACTTCATGCGCTACCATCTAGTTGTGGATCTCGTACCAAGAAATGCAGTCTTCTCGTCACTGAAGGGTTTTGCTTAACCTAACTATGTATATCGTCACTTCTATTCCCGCTCTTTCTGTTGAACACCTCACGTTACCCTAACATTTATTCTTCAGACACTCACCTGCATGCCTGTCCCCTCAGACAGCAGTCAGCATTTTCTCAGGTCGTTTCCTTAAATCTTTTTTCTCTCTTCATTATCATTAACTTTAGTATTCTCTTCCACCTGGACTTTCATTCTCTAGTGTGTAAAATCTTTAGAGGAAAGATCTGTCTTTGTGGGCACTCAGTAAACAAAATTTCCTTCGGCTCTGTTTAAATGAAAATAAAACATTTATGGGCATTTATAGGCTAAGTGTTATTAGTGTAAATATTCTATATAAATAGCCTTTTCCAACAAAGATTAAAAGGGTAAGACTATGGGGACCTGAACCAAATTTTAGAGTCACAAATATCATAACATTTCCAGATCTAAATGTTATAGCTTGAGTACATTTCTAATGATAATAGGCTTACCTTTATCTATTCCTTACAAGACACTACTGAAAGTGCTATAACCCTCTACTCTGAGATACTGCTTCTGTCTTTTTATACACTAACTCATCACTTTTTAAAAATCTTTTTTCTCCATCTCACCACATTTCCTCCGTTATTCCACTCCACTTTTTCTTCTTTGTCTTCTTTAAACTCTTAAAATTTGTCCTCACATTTAAACGCTCTTCTATTCTGAAAAGATTTCTTCAAACATACTTACAGATGTCATCATTTATACATGTTCAGTCTTATAAGTTAGTATTACCATAGCAACTTGATACCACTCCATCTGATCAAGCGTGCAATACATGGTGCCTCACTTCTGCTTAGGCAGTTTGGTAGATGATAAGCTAAGACTTATTTATGGGTTAAGGCAAAGTGACATTTTTGTTAAAAGAAAATGTCAAAGGTTGAATGCCCTGGTGTCCATGTGCTAAATTCAGAAAGAGCAGGTTTAAACAGAGATCAAGCTTGCTAGTGCTGAACGTAACACTTAACTCCTGTCAGAAGCCCTGCTACTTTCACTTGTTGGCTCTGAGAACCCTTGCAAACTTACCAAAGTTGCACAAAATTTCCAGAAGTTGACTGTGATTACATTTTAACCAGAAGGGGGGATGCTGAAGCAGTCACGGTGCTTAGATTGTCTGGGAATTAAGGGAATTGAACTTCTGCCTGCCAAATGTTTATCAAATAGATGAAAGAACTAAGAATGCTTAGGCAGAAGCACCTTCATCTTTTCTGCTCATAGCATAAAGACATGCCCTTCTTGTTTGTCCTCATGGTGCCTGGGGAATTCTTCATTCCAATGTTAAAACAGTTCAACAGAAGTTACAGCTGCCTAATAGCCCTGTTTCCTCTCCTCTTCACCTTTTGTTTCCTGTTCCTGTGAATATTTGTTGTGTCCACATCAAATCCCTGAAGACATTTTCTGAAGTCTGGAACTTTTTCTCAAAGTTTTCAGGAAAGATTTTTTTCCTTTTAGTCTTTTTCTAACATCCACATCCTGCAAACTGTGAAATGTATTACTAAGGTCTAATGGGGTCCTCACAGGCCTGCTAGATGTTCATGCCAGCTACAGGCTTGTTCCAAAAAGACCTAATGTTGCATGAAGTAGGAGTTTGGGAATAAATAGAATGCCTTTTCTCTTGATGCCTGATATTTTTGTAGATACACCATACCAAATTAAAGTCACTCTAAGTCTGACCTTATGGATTTATGCAACATGGAATTTAAGAAAACACTGTGCTTTAGTTCTCTCCCAGTTCTCTCCCACTCTAACAAACAATCGCAATATCGACTACATACAGCCTGTTCGACCTGCTTATACTTGCTATTTTGCCATTCTCTTTTCCTCCTTCTGCTAATCAGAAACTGGGTTGTTGCCATTTCATTTATTCCTATGTTCTTCACCTTGCCTTTAGGTTACTGCTGGAAGCCTGATAAGCTCTTAAAAAATGAAAGAACGGAAGAAGGAGAAGCATCAGGCTCTGACCAGTTTTAACTTCCCAGATGCAGTTCTCCTGGCTGCTTTCCAAAACGCAGTAATTCAGTAATTGCTTTAGAAGAACTCAGTGCATAAATGTGACTATAAATGGAAAATGTACCCCTTCTAGCCGTAATTAATTTTAATAATAGTTTGCATGCCTGAGAGTCTCAAAATACTGTCTTTATATTGTCCTAATCTTACAAATACAAAAATTAAGTCATAAGAAGGTTCAAAACTGTCATTAGACCAGTCAGTCAGTGGGTCTGGAAATAACTTTTGACTTCCAGTCCTTTAATCACAACCTTTCTTCAAAGCTTTAAAGAATGCCATCTCTGTTGATTATCCAGCATATGTTATTTGTGTCAAGATGAATCACATCTCTGTACACACAATGTTAAACTGTTATTCAACTCTCATATTTATTATATTGATTTTTAAAGTGCCTGGTGCCCTAGCATCCATATTGATTTACCAGCTGCAACTCTCAACACAGAAAGCTGATAGTTCTATCATGTGTTTATTGTTCTCCGTAAACAGATTTCATTTTGATCTTGGTGAATACTAGCTTGAAATACATTATTTTATAAAAATCTTGACAGTTTGTAAATGTCTCCAAGATGGATGCTGCTTGGTACATTGTTCAAATGGTAAAAATCCATTTCTTGTGCAAGTTACTTGACAGAATAATAGATTATAGCTTTTTCAAGTATATTTTTGAAAGGCATGTATGGCAGCAGACTAAAACCCTCAATGCTCTTTGCAGTTTTACGACTTAATTTTTTTGCAGCCTAGCAATTAGTTACAGTCATTTGACACATTCCATAGGATAATCTAGTTTCTTACTATCTTACCCCTGCTTTTTTCCAGTATGCGAGTGGTGGTGCGCATAATGTCATTACTATAGCAGATGTGAATACATGTGAAATAGTTTAGTGGTTTCCAGCTCTTTCAGGGTTTCTGCTGGAAAGGCTAGCACCCTAGTGGAAGTCTGGACGTTTGTCACAATAGGCATGGTTACCTACAAGGTCACTTCAGATAAATCCACAGACATCTTCCCTCTTTTCTATCCCTGGCTGTGAGTCCCTGAAGTGCAGGCTAAGCTGCTACCAATAGTTCTTCAGTGACACATCCTGCAAGAGTCAGGAAATCTGGCCTCAACTAAGCAAAGCACTTAAACATGCACTTAAGTTAATCTCAGTTCGGCAAAGAAACAAAGCTTGCCTAAATCAGTAGAACAAATACATGCTTATCCCTAAGCAGGTGCTAATTTAACAGGAGCAGTTCAGTAAAGAATTGTGTGATTTTTCCATTCTGGTGGGGCTATATGTTTTGTTTATGGTTACCTATAAAGGATGATAGCCATTGGGCATAAGGAAAGAATAGAAAAATTTCCCACTAATAATAATACTCAAAAATGGCAGCACAAAATCAGAATTAAGACTAGCATCTGCATTTATTTTAATAGAAATATCTGATTTTTTAAATATGAAGAGTAATTAAAAGTTAACCGATCCTTAACTAACTTGACCTATACATACATCCAATGGTTTACCATATCCTGAAGCTTTCTCAAGGGCAGCAAGTATGCACATTGTGTAAGCAGCCAAAGAGAGTCTACGCAAGCAGATTTAGTGCCTTGCATGCAAGAATAAATTCACCTGCAGTAATAAAAGAGGAATAGTTGAATGACTTTTATATCTTCTTGAAGTTCAAGTTTCCTAACATATTAACCAGTCAAACATCCTCCTATGAAGAAATGTTATAAACTTTAGTAATTTGAAACATTCTCTGTGAACAAAGAAAACATCAAATGTGCATTTAAATGTTATGTAAGCTTATAAAAGAAGCCTAGAAGACTTTTTCCCTGTTTTTAAGGTACTACCAGAATGCCATTCTGTATTCCCTAGTGAAATCTCTAATCAATTCTCATACTTTAAAAAGCATAGTTCAGTTAGCTGAACTAAATTAAAACAAAAAAAAATTGTATATAGAATTAGCTGAACTAAATTAAAACAAAAAATGTGATAAAATCTTGAGAGACTGAGAGTATAATTATCATATGTGAATAACTGCCAATTCACATTCAACCTGAACTAATAATAAAGAAAGAAGGTGGAAAAGCAAAAGAGGGTGTCAAAGGAGGGAGGAGAGGAGCGAGGGAAACGAAAGAACAGAAAGTTGTTGTGATTCTGTGTCAATGGGAGAGGAAATTACTAGGTTGGCATAGGTGTCTGTCTCACAAAAACATTACTCCAAGTGACCCTGTTGTTGGCAATTTCAGAAAGAACTGGAGAATCACAGAAACTATGCTACTTTCTTACCCTTAATCCATTTGCATCAGATTGATGGAAAACCACAAGGGCTCTGTGGGGCAATAACGCTGCAGCCTTTCTTCCTGTAAGCATTCTACGAGCTTGCATATCTGGGCCTGTGTGTCCAGTAGAGCTTAAGCTGGATGCTCTGTTAGGTGTCCCTGTTTACATGTTTTCTCCAAGCTTTACTTCCATCCTTGTTTATGACCTGTTTCCTACGGAGTTAAGGTTCATGTGACCAAACTCTGTATCTATCTTCCCTTAGTAACTTCAGAAACAGGGCACGTCAGAGTTTCACAGCATCTTGAAATCCCAAAGATAGTTGAAAGTCCTATAACTTTCAGGATTACTGAATAGAGAAAAAAATCACTTATTTCTTACTGAAAGGAAGGCAGAGCTAAGCTTTTATCCCTGCTCTTGCTGCTTAAGAAGTAATTTACTTGTTCTTTGCCTCTATACTTGGTTGCTTTGGGGCTTTTTGCAACTTCTCAGCTGAGGAGAAGGAAGAAATCCTTTCAGTTTAGAAAGGTGTGTAATCCTAATTCTTGTGGATTCAAACTGACTAGCAGAATCTATCTTGGTATCCTCTGCTCAGGATAACCAAACTCTTGTCCCTTTTTCCACAATTTCGATCTCCTTCTCATTCCTTGTTTCTCTTGTAGGGCCCTCGTGCTTTGGTCCCTTGCTACTGGTATAGCGGAAGGATGTAACAGATCTTTGAATAGCTCCTCTCTGAAGGACTTGTGTTACGTCCAAGGAACATGCAACATCACCCCAGATTTGTTCATGGTTCTTCAATTGTTCTCCTTTCCTGGATCTCTTATTTTTGTTCTATGATCTATATGCTTCCTTTCTGGTTATTTTTCTTTGTCCCTTGCTAATAGCTAATTCCTGATTCCTTTTGGCCTTCTCCTTTGTAGTGGGTTTCTTTTGTTGTGTATGTTACGGATTAGTACAGTCTGATTAAAATCAGTTAGGCCTGAAGAGTAGAACTTCCAAAAGCATGTTTCAACTTCCATTATAGTCACTAGTAAAGCTACAATTTACTTAACTGGGAGCAAAATGAAGTGAAACAGGCTACACCTCTGTGCTCACATTAGCTTGGATTAAAGATCACAGTTGAGCTCTTCTGTTGCGCTCCCTTCTCCCCATGCCCAAGCAGCCACAGTGCAGATGGCTGTGTACACCTCAGGGCGCTGCGTGGGCTGGGGGCACCCTGGAGCCGGTGTCAGGGGGGCTCCCAGAGGCGCAGAGCCAGACCAGGCTGCCAGGGCCTGGCAGCCCCTGAGGGAGCAGAGCATGAGGGGTGGCCAGGGCCGGGCTGGGGTGGGGGTCGGGGGGCCGTGGCCTGGCAGGGGCAGGGCCATGGCAGGGCTGGAGCCAGCACTGCTGCAGCATCGCAGGGCAGCAACTGATGGCCCCAGGCTGGGCTGAGATGGGGCATGGGGCTGGATGGGGAACGGGGCACGTTCCCTCTGGCACGGGGAGGGGAAGGGACAGCAAGGGCTGGGGGTGCCCGCGAGGCGCTGGCGGTGTCCCCACTGGTCCAACCATGGAGTAAAACACTGGCTTTCAAGGAAGAGCAGACTCGTATTTCCATTCTGAAACTACAAGCTATACAACACCATCTCAGGATGCTTTTGAAAGTTTTTTGTTTTTAATTGTTTATTTCATTATTTGTCATACAGATTGTATTTACTCCTGATGCTGGGAATTTCAGAGATTAGAGGGTTTGCCAAAGAAGTACGGTGGGCACAAGAGAAGACTGCCTCCCAACAACCGGAGACTTAAACACAGACTGTAAGTATCTTTTACAGTCTTCTCCATTTGCATCTGCTGCTAAGCATGGGTAATTACAGAATTAGTCAGCTTCACTTGTATTTCTGTTCAGGGAGAGCTTAAAACAGTAATTAAGTTACATTTAAAGTTTAGGGATAATAAAACTATGTATCAAGAAAAGAACAATAAAACTATAGCAAATATACCAAGAGTAAAAGCGCCAGCCTTTGCCAACGCCTCTGTCTTTCCCGCATTGGGCTGTGGAGCTCAAACACAGAGGCAGAGAGGAAGGGAGAGGAGAATTGTTTGTCTTGGTCCTGCCAAAGTAGACAACAAATAGTAAGCAGGAGGGTCATTGAAGAGGAAGGTAAGGAAAGTTGCTATAACAGGAACAGAGTGTCTTACTAGGAGGTCACAGTGCAAGTGGAATTCTGAGTTTAAGACTTCTATTAAAACACCTAGAAGGAGAACTGGAAGCCTCACTGCAATGTACACACACATATTGTTAATCATTACCAGCTTCCCTAAATTCTTTTCCTTTCTCATATGCTCTTAAAATACTTCATTTCATACAACAGATGTAACGCTGCAGTCTTTAGACTTGAAGATCTGGTTTGTTTGAATCCTCAGAACTTTTAACATGTGAAAAGGAAAGAATAT